AGTTAACAGACCCTCGTGGGGCTCTCGTGACCAGGAAGGGAAACCATGGAGGAACCTGGGTGCAGGGTGCAGGGTGCCCTGGCCCGGCCCACCTCGGCAGGGAAGTGATCCACTTCTCCCACACGTGGGCCATATCATCACTGAGGCTCCACTTGTCCTCCATCCATGAGCACAGGTTTGAGGGGTGGGAGTCCTCGAGGAACTAAGGGAGATCTGAGAGCTGGGGGGTGGGAACAAGGACCCAGATTCCTCCCTATGCACGGTGACATCGCCAGTGCTCCCTTCAGAGGGACAGTCAGCGCTGAGGAGGCAGGTGTGCTAATGCACACTAAGAAGACACTAATCCCTCATCTGCCAGGGCAGGAGGCCCCTCAGGACAAACCCTTTCTCCTTGGGACCAAGAAGGGTACGTACCCCTGTTCACCTGCCCCTCATGCTGGGCTGGGGTGTCCTTTCTGGGGGACCTACCCCTCACCACAAGGGATTCTGCTCATGGTATCTGGGTACCTGAGCAGTCCAGCAGGGCACATCCTTGCTGGTAGGGCATTCAAGCTCCAGCCAGCTCCCCAGGACTTGCAGGCCCACACTCCACTTCCAAACAATTCTTGGTGGTGGGTGACAGGTGGATGGACAGCTGCTTGCCTCCCCAACCCCCACACCACCGACTGGAATTCCAAGAGTTAGAACTGGAACTGTTCCGTTTTCTGCAAACTTCCCCCTTGTCCAGGGCAATGTTAGTGGGAGGGTCCAGGGAAAGTGGCCTGTCCATCCAGATTGGTCTCAGCACTGGTATTGAGGCTGTTTTCACTGGGCAGGGCCTGGCTCAGTGCCCACTGGCACACCCTGTGTGCTTTCAGCCCGGATCTCCAGCAGCTGTGGGCTTCTAAAGGCAGTTTCCAGGCTCCAGAAGATATGGAACCAGTTTCAGTGCCCAGCAAAGGCCTGTGACCACAGGGAGCTGAAGATGCACTTCCACAGTGAGCTGGCTGCGTTGTATCCCCATGGAGGGACCCTCTGCATTGCTGGGACAAAACCCAGGCCCCCAGGCCCCTGGTCCGAGGGGCAGTCATGCGTAGGGCCCCCAGGGTGAGTCACTCTGGGGGCAAAAGGTGTCCACTAAGCTGAAACCATACCCTGTTTTGGAGAGCCTTGTGCAGTCGAAGGGATCACGTTAGACCAATCCTGGCTCTCCCGAAAACCAGCAGAGAGGGCTTGGGGCTACTGCAGACCCTCGTGTATGCAACTTCAGCACCCATTTCTGGAAATCCCTGCGTAGCTTTTTGGGGACACAGGACATACAGTATCTCTGTCTTGGTCCCCAAAGGTACCCTCTAAGCTGTGGGCCTTAGGAGCAGGTAGTTTGTTGAGGACAGCTCAGGCAGCACAACTCATCTTAGTGAGGGATGCCCAGCACCCTCTGTGGATTTGGGCTGACTGCCCTGCGAGAGCTGGAGAAGCCTGGCTCCTGTCTCTCTCGGGCCAAGGTGGCTGCATGGTGGGTCCTGTGCCCTCAGCAGACTCCTGTATCTCTGGGGGCTGTGGCCCTGGTGGGGGCTGTCACTGTAGGTCTCCCCTTTCCCAGGTGGGGGTAGGGAGGCTTTTACCCTCAACTGAACTGCACCTGCCGAACTTGCTCTCTTTCCAGAGGGCCCCTGAAGTGGTCCTGGGGCCTGAGATCTCCCCCTTCTTCTCCAGGGAGTTGCTGCCCTGGTCTCAGGCTACCTCCCAAGCCTCAAGAGGAAGAAGGAGCAATCCAGTGGTTAAAAGCCTGGTCTAAGAATCAGCTCTGCTACTCACTTTGCTGTGTGACATTGGGCAAGTTACCAAATCTCTCTGGGCCTCAATTCCCTCAGCTGTGGGATGAGTGCCACACAGGAGCCACTGCACCTTGTTGCTGTGAGGATGAAGCAAGAACTGCTTGCAGAGGAAGTCTGGCCCACCGCTAATGCCCTGTGGGAGATGGCTCGCAAAGAGCAATGGGCCTCAGGCTCAGACAGCAAGGTCCTGCTGGCCCCAAGGCCTGGGTGTCCCAACTTTCCACACAAGTCAACAGGCCCTGGGTAGGTCAGCGGTGGGCACCCTCTTGATGGGTGCCAATCCTCAGTCCCCACTTTCTCAAGCCCCCCAAAGCCACACAGCCTCTCTTGGAGGGAAGAAAGTCTGCCCTGGGTCTGGAGTTTGGTTGTGAGTCAGGAGGAGCCAGAGAAGGTTCCAGAGGCCCAGACTACAACCAGGCAGAGCCGTGCCTAATGGCTGACATGAAGCTGCCACGTTGACTGGGACAGTCAGGATGGGAGTCAAATGCCCTGGGGACACAAAGAACACTTTGGCAGGGAGGAAATGGAATCGGTTTACTTTTATTTAATCCTCACCTAAGGACATGTTCTCATTGCTTTTAGAGAGAGAAAGGAGAGAGAGAGGGAGACAGAAGTATCGGTATGAGAGAGAAGCATCATCGGTTGGTTGCCTTCTTTATGCTCCTGCAGTGGGGACCAAACCTGCAACATAATGTGCCCTGACCGGGAATCACATCTGCCCCAACAGAGCCACACCAGCCCAGGAGCAAATTGGCTTGTTTTAAACACAAAATAAACCCAGCAGAGTTTCTCTGGGTTAAAATGAGCCAGAAAGGTTAGAGGTCACCTGATGAGACAGACCTTTGCCCCGGGCCTACCTTGCACATTTTGTCTACAGGCTGGGAGTTAACTATAATGTTACCAAAGAGCTGAGAGCCAAGGTCCTCCAGCTAGAAAGTAGCCAGGTAGTAGGTGATTGAGGGAGCAGTGGGGAAAGGGCACACACCAGAGGGTACCTGGGGGTCCCCCTCCCCTGACCCCGTAATGTGATCTTGGGGAATCAGCCCAGAGGCTTAGGGACAAGCAGGTGCAGCAGAACTGTTAGGATATGTAACCACGGGCCAAATGTCCATCTGCTATCTGCATAACAGTAACAATGAGACAACAGACATAGTACAAATGACAGTCTCAGATGATGGGACATTCTGTGGCTTCAAAGTCACATATATTATCTCATTTGGTAAGTTATCAAAAGTTCCAAAGTTTCCCTGGGTGAAAATAAAACCACTTTGGATTTGTTTGTTAATTCTGAAAGAGTACATCACCTCAAACCAACAGGACTGGGAACCTGAAGGTCCCTGGGCTCGGTGAGGGTCCTCTGAGGCAGGGACAGTTTGTTGTGCCAACTGGTATGCAGGCCCATGATGTGCTGCTGACCATAAAAACTGAGCTGAGTGGTGAGGGGGCAGCTATAGACATGCCATTAGGCCACCCAGCTCAGCTTCCAAACACCTGCAGGCCTCAACCCCTCTCCTGCACAGGTGCAGAGGCCCAGTGCAGCACCTGGGAGCTGGATTGACTGCTCCACAAAGGCACTGGCCACCCTGCCCGCAATGGTCACCACAGCCCTTGAGAGCAGACAGCCTGCAGGAAACCCAGGCAGAGATGTCTCATGTATTTCTCCTTGGAAGAGTCCAGTGACCATATGGCTGGCTCTGCCCACAGTTCTCAGGATTGGGAGGGGGGTCTGGGACTCAGACAATGACAAAGGCTCGTCATTTCACCCACATGGTCTTCTGGGGCATTCTCTTTCAAGTTGGCCACGCTCCCTCAGGGACTGCAGGCTCTGGATGGGTGGAGCAGGGCCCGGGATCTGTCCCATGGAGTCTGGCCTTCAGTGGCCTGGAGTCCGTTTCCATGTTTGTAGGTGGACCCTGGTCCACCCATTAGCAGGCAGCTGAGAACATTGAGGCAAGGGCTGTGAAAACCCTCAGGGAAACCAGAGTGGTGCCATAGGCGAGGGCGGGGGAGGGGCACATTTTGCACAAGCCATGTGTGGGAAGGGTGACTGCCACCACTTACATCAGGTCACTGCTGCTGTAGAGTATGTGGCTACCAATGTCTGTGCCACATTCAGAAGGCAAAGGCAGTGGACCTGTCCAGGGCACATGTGGGTGGGGATGGGAGCCCACCCTAGAAGAGGTCTTAGCCAGCCCACAGGCAGAGCCAGCTGCCCCACAGGTAAAAGGCATCCACAAGGGTCAGCAACTGCCAGTACTGAGGCATCTAACAGAACTTCTAAAGTGAACCCCTGCTTCTGGTGGCTGAGTCTGATAAACAGGGTGGGAGGGGGTCAGGGGACAGGGCCAGTGGGTAGAGGGGCAATGACCTCCACATGAGCACACCTGAGGCCCTTGGAGGGCTGATAAAACAGTACAAGGCGCAATGGCAAGGCTGGGGAACAAGCACCCCCAAGGAGCTACGAAGAGCTAAGTACAACCTCCCAAATCAGTCTGCAGGGCCCATGGCAGTCAGTAACTCAGACCCTCTGACCAGCAGGCCCACCCCCAGGAATCAGTCTCACAGGTTCTCCTGGGAATGATAGCAAAGACAGCACTTTTTATGGAAAATGGCCTTGGCTGGTGTGGCTCAGTAGATTGAGACCTGGCCTGCAAACCAACGGTTGCTGGCCAGGTCCCCAGTTGGGGGCATGCGAGAGGCAACCACACATTGACGCTTCTCTCCCGCTTTCTCCCTCCCTTCCCCTCTCTAAATATAATCTTAAAAAACAAAAACCTTGGAAAATGATGAGGCATTAAAAAGTACACAGTGGAGCCAATACTGTGTGAGTCCACTCACCTGATATCCCAAGTCAAATTCCCTAGACAGAAAGATGGACCCAGGGGCTTTGGAGGTGGGGGGAGGGGTGTGGGGCATGGGAATTGCTTGAGACAATCTGGAAAGGTGGCAAAGTCCTGTAGATAGATGGTGGGATGGTTGCCCAACAATGTGAGTACACTTGAAACTGTCAACTTAATGAGTAAGATGGCAAATTCTGACTAAACCACCAGACTAATGACGTCACCTGAGAGATCCTGTACACGGCTCTCAACCTGGGGGAGCCTGTCTCCACACATGAGCTTTTGTAGTTCTTAAGGGTAACCAAACTGGCAGTTCCAGTTCATTAACACACTTACACCAAAAAACAGTGCTTCAATGGGATTTTTTATTCTGTGGCCAAAAATTTAGACTCCATAGCTCAGCATTCAAGTAGGGTATTTTGGTTTTTTTAAGATTTCCTTGTTCACAGCGGAATAATGATCTTATTTTCCCAAAGGACATATTATCACAACAAAAAAAGGTTTCTTTTATTCAAGCAAAATCTTAGCATTTCTAAGCAAAAGCTAGTCAGTGCATCTTGCATATTTCTTATATTGATTTTACACATCATTTAACTTAGTCTCCCCAAGGAACTGTTATTGACTTGTTACTCCCCACACCAAGAAAAACACCTGAATTCAACACGTGCTATAAAGAATAAATTCTACCACTTTGGATAAAATGGGGGGGGGAGGGAGTGTTGATGTCTGATTTCCCCCTCACATAGTATTTTCATATGGAAAAGCATGTTTCTCAAGAGGATATGACTTGTTCATTGTGTCCCTGAAACTTGGCACAATGTGGTACATGCAGGTAATATGATCTACTTTCTGTGGAAGGCTATTCTTATCATAAATTACGATCACTGCTACTTCCCATATCACATTTTATATACAAGCATCTCCCAAACATAAGCGGGCTACTCAGGCATTTCTCCAATTTTATCTATGGCTCTGTCAAACTCCCAGCTCAATGAACTGCTTTGGAAATTTCTAAGTATATTTTACTGAAGATGTGCTCATCACTTAAACTTCTTTTTTGAAAATAAGAGCAGACAAATACATCTGATAGTTTTAAGTGCTTACAACTCAGTTATCAAGCTAATGGTTAAAAGGTGACATTACCAGTGAACAAAAGGCAAACCCAATATAAAATGTGTCTACTTGTCACAAAAGAGGCTAATTTAACAAGAAAATAAAGATCTTCCTACAGACAAAAGCAATGGAATAAATGGCACCTTAACTCATACACTGCATCCTAGTACTTACAGCCACAAGACAGTATGCAGTGCAGTCTATAATGTGCCCTTGTACCTCATCAGAGCAAAGCTAGCATTTAACCATGCATTTGGCCTAACATCTCTCCTACTACGAAACTTTGCATTAGGAGGCAGTATTCCAGAGAAATTAATCTTTCAAAAAACTTAGCTCTTGCCCTGATCAGTGTGGCTCAGTTGTCTGGGCACTGTGTTCCACAAACTGAAAGGTTGCCAGTTTGATCCCCAGCGAAAGCACATGTTTGAATTGGGGGTTCGGTACCCAGTCGGGGTGAGCCTGGTCAGGGTGTGTAGAAGAGGCAACCGATCTCTCACACTGATGTTTCTCTCCCTTTCTCCCTCCCTTCCCCTCTTTAAGAAAACAAATCAAATCTTAAAAAAAATTTAGTTCCTAAATTCTTAACTTGGTAAGTCTTTATTTAAAAATCTGATTGGCCAACTTAGCGTTTTCCACCAACACGAGGAGCAGAAACCTTCACAGGCTTCACAATCTTTTGCTTAGGTGCTGCCTTTGTGGGAGCCTGTAAAAAGATGTTACGTGGTATTATTCCATGCAGGTATTATTCCATGCAATTTCCTTTTTAATCACCCCTTATGTCCAGTGTGGGATACTTAATTGTATCTTAAGAACAAAAAGGATATTTTTGTTTGTCATTTAGGACTGTATTTTTTTTTTTACTATAGTTTTCTAATTCAGTAACATTGAGAAAAGCTGTGTAAACTTTCTTTACATTTAAAATTTCAAAATAAACTTTAAGTAACAAAACATTCAGAAATCAGTTATCAATATCACTTCCATTAGAGCCTTGCACTAAAGTCTTTAAAAACTCGAAACTTGCCCTGGCTGGCATAGCTCAGTGGATGGAGCGCGGGCTGCAAACCAAAGTGTGGCAGGTTCGACTCCCAGTCAGGGTACATGCCTGGGTTGCACGCCACAGCCCCCAGCAACCGCACATGATGTTTCTGTTTCTCTCTCTCTCTCCCTCCCGCCCTCCCTTCCCTCTCTAAAAATAAATAAAAATCTTATTTAAAAAAAAAAACTCAAAACTTTTATTACCACAATTAGTATCATAAGCAAGTTTTCCTGTTGTTTTAAATAAGAAATCCAGAACCATCACAATTACCTTAGCAGCAGCCATTGCTGTCTTTTTAGATGCTTGCTTAGCCTTTTTTGCTTCCTTGGCAGCCCTGTAGGATTAAAAATAACATAAGGCAAAGCACTTTACTCCTCAAGGATATAGCTTATTAACAAGGAAATGCAGTGGTTTGGAAAAGTAGAATTATCATATTCCTTCCCCACCTCCAATTATTTTTAGGGTAATTCCAAAGGGGTTGTCAACGTCATTAACCACCAAGCTACTTTAACACACACATACTATACAATAGCTTTCATCGCAGTTAGAAATTTCAACAAACCTTTCAGACTACGTTATAAACTTCTGATCACTAGACCTAAAAATGCTCTTAGTGAGGGTTTCCTCACCTGATAGCTTGTTCTCGTTGAGCTTTCCTAACTTCAGGTTTCTGATTCCTCTTGGCCATTATATCAGCAAGAGATGCACCAGTGATGGCCCTCTGGAATTTGACTGCCCGGCGGGTTCTCTTCTTTTGAATTTCTTCCTGCAAAACAAAAAAGATGGGGAGCACACCTATGAACCGAGCTTCATGAATTCAGGCGAGAAATGAACCAGTAAGTCTTTGAGGCATGGGAAATGAAGTCTTTTAAGACTAGTTTTTGCTCTAGTCCATTATAGGCCAAGTGGTCTATAAACAACAGAAATTTATTTCTCAGTTTCTGGAGGCTAGAAGTCAGGGTATCAGTATTACCAGATGTGGCAAAGGGATGCTTTAAAATTTCAATTTGGCATTTACCATGAACCTAGTAAGACATTAACAGTGAAGAGACACTGTTTATATTAACCATTTTCACTTCACTGTTTGATGACTTACAGTTTCAGAGCACATTCCCGTACTGTATCACTTTAGTTACAATTTTTCAGAGCAGCAACTGATCAGAGTTTAAACAACTTCAGAGACAGCCCCATACATCAAAGCGCATTTCACTTACCGACTGTCCCTTTTTGTGCTTTCTTCTGTAGAGGACAGTCCAGTTTATCTGTCGAGGATTCCTCTTGGAAAGGAACGCCGACTCGCATTTTGCATTAAGAAATTGGAACACCTGTGGCGACAAGTTGCAAGTACAGAAGTTACCTACTCAACTATGCAAAGTAGAAAAAGGTTGGGCTTGAAATCCGTAGCAAATTAATTTATTAGTTTCATATTCTTATTTTATTAAGTTGAGCCCAGAGACCAAATGGCTTGTCACACAACTGGAAGGTATCTGGGTGGCACCGTGATCTTTGTATTCGGTCCTGGCTTTTAACAGCAGGCAAGGCTAAATTCCTGTCGCAGGGGAGGGTGGGGTGTCAAATTCTGGGAGGCATCCAGTTCCTGTCCCTCACGGGATTCCCAAAGGTCCAGTTTCCATAAAGTAGCCTGATTTTGTCTCACACTGGGGGACTGAAATTACACAAACTCATTTCCGACCTGAAACACACTAGATCAAAATTCAAGGAGGGTTCGCGTAGAGGCTCCTGATCCCTACAACCATTGAGCCCAGGGTCCCCGAAGCAAGCCTTCCACGGATCAAGAATGGTGTGGTAAATGAACCCGCCTAGACCGAATTAGACCGGTCGTTCCTCTTCGGGGCACAAATCGCATTTAGCCCACGCGGCCTATCACCTTCCCGTCGGTCCTGGCGTAGCGCCTCCCGTGTCCGGGGTAGATCTTGTACCCACTGAAACTGCACAGCTCGACCCTGTAACAAAAGCGAAAGCCTATTAGGGAGGGTTTCTATGGCAAGGAGAAGCCATGTGCGGGACACCAGGGGGGCGATCTGTCAGCAGATGGAAGAGGATTGGGATGCAAGAGTCTCGCTTACTTCATGGCTGCGGCGGCCGGGAAGAAGGAAAGATGGTGAAAAGGAGGAGAGGATCACGGGAAAAAGCCTTATAGGGTCATGGAAACAGTCTCCTCCCCCAATTCCCTCCTCTAACCCCGGCGCTCGGTGATGACATCACTCAAGCAAGGCCATGGATCTACGTTTTCTGAGGCGCAGTTTTTTGGTTTTTTTTTCTGTGAAGAGTTCTGCAAGAGTCGGTGGAAAGTCTGTGGCTGAGACAGCTGATTTCGGAGTTATCCTCTCCTAGGTCAAGTGTCTTAGAGCCACCATCCTGCTGCAGGAATGTGAACTCTCCCTCTTATAGTTCAGTGACCCACAGACGAATACCCCGCAGGTAAAACTTAAAGTCACTTTTCTGCCCTCTGCGTTGACCCATTTCCTCAATCAACGACATTAAATTGTAATAGATTCACAATTTGCAGAAAAAAAGCAGTGACATCTGAACAGTCTTCCAGGCCGTGCGAATCGAGTCGGGCTTCATGGCTCTTTGCATTATTTATAATTAACTTTCATTGAGTGCTCTGGCAGGACGTGTGCTAAATCATTTACATATATTAGTTTATTCAGTTTTTACTAAATCCCCAGCAACTAAGCGTCATAGTACCGCAAAATGACGACTGCCATCGGGGAAGAGCTACGTTGTGGAGCTGCTTCCTAATGGAGCCCAGGGACGTTTGGTTGTGCAGAGAAGGGGAAAGCCCAAACTGGGAGCCTGGATAAGAGCTCTGGCCAGACCTACAGGAGGGTCAACGCCTCCATCTCCTGAGCACTTCTGTAATGCTAGATACTTAAGCATATTTAATGGATGGGGAATGTCATGAGGCAATCCTAGGAAACAAATGTACTGATTGACATGCTTTGTAAAGGAGTATGCTATTTAGAGGTAAGCAGCTTACCCCTAAAAACGTTTCGTAAGTAGGTCGTTGAAGAGATTTGGAAAGTCCAATAAAGTGGCTGATTAATGTTAAGGAAACTGTACAGTCACGCTGGAACCAGTCTCAGTTCTGTGTTAACAGAACTGAGTGGCAGTGAAAAGCAGAGGAAGAATTTGACCGTATGGCCAACTCTGACCAGCTGTTAAGAATACCTGGTATACTTTGGGAAGATAGTGTCTATGTAGCCTATACGCAAATGAATGCCACAGGCTTCCGTGAAGTTAATCAACTCTAACATTCATCCTACTCTGTTTTTAAGTCACTGCTAATTAAAGAAATATTTGATCGTTAAAAATATGTGTGTGTGTGTTTCCTGGAATAGTCCTGGCTTCTTCAAATTCATGAGCTGGATGTGAGTAGAGTGTGGAGCCAAGATTTACCTGTGGGAATTTGGTTTTGTTTGCCCCACAGAACCCCAGCATTTACAGTTTCTTCCCAGGAATTTTACAAATATTTTGTTTTATTAGTCTTCAGAATTATGGTTGGCTGGACTAGCTCTGTGCAGGAAAAGCAGGAAACTAGATTAAGGATTTTAGCTCTTTTACTCTTGAGATGACATTCTTGAGCTGGCATTTCATGGCTCTTTTGTAACACAATGTGTATATATCACACCTTAAATCAAACACTCCCGGAATAAGAAGCAATGTTGCAGAAATTCCTAAAACCATTTTATGTAGTGTCAGAAAGCACAAGTTTACAATACCATAAATACATTTTTGCTGACTTTATCCTTACACTTTTATAGGCCAAAGGCTCAGCTGAAGCCCTGGCTGGCATAGCTCAGTGGATTGAATGTGGGCTGTGTAGCATCCAGCAAACTCGAGGACAAATATCGGAGACTTTCAGAGTATCAAAGATGTTACTTTATTGGCCAAGTTTAACCTGCGCAGGGGCGAACTCTCAAAGTGTCCAGTGACACAGTGCCCGCAAGGAGCTGCAAACGAGAGACGTGCCTAGCGCTTACAACTACATTCTTATATATGGGCGAGCAAGCAAGCGTTATACAGAAGCAGACGTGGCAGTTAGTAATTCGCTTACAAAGACCGCGCGTGGGAATTTCAAACCAAGCATTCTTTCATAAGGCGGGAAGGCAGGATGTTTGTTCATTAACCTAGTAATCTCCTGGCTCTAGCTAGCTAGTTTTCTATTTTCTCATTAAAAAAACTACAAAGCACTGCTTATCTAGCCTACCCAGGGGAGAGCGTCTGCTAGACACAGGATGTTTGCTTTAACTGTACTCTGTCTCTTTTATCATTTCTTTTTAGCTACAGGGTGTTTCTTGTCTATTAAGGTTAAATTTAGTTCTTAATTTCCTTGTTCCCAACAGGCTGCGAACCAAAGTGTCATAGGTTCAATTCCCAGTCAGGGTACATGCCTGGGTTGTAGGCCATGGCCCCCAGCAACCGCACATTGATGTTTCTCTCTCTCTATCTCCCTCCCTTCCCTCTCTAAAAATAAATAAATACAATTTTTTTACAAATTTAAAAAAGGCTCAGCTGTATTCTATTCCCTTTATTTGTGGAGCAACTCTGAACCAAAAGTTGGTGCTCAGCTTTATGTACCTCCTGAGGACAGAGCATTCTTCATTGCTTCTTCATCTTTATATATACTTCACCTACTGTTATGAAATTCCTCTGGTTGCTACTACAAATTACCACAAAATTGGTAGCCTAAAATATTGGAAATGTAAAAAATTAAAAATGTATTCTCTTTCAATTCTGGAGGCCAGAGGTCTGAAATCAGTGTCACTAGACTAAAACCCAGGTCTCTGGGCTCCCTCCAGAGGCTCTGGGGCAGAACATGTTCCTCGTTCTTCCAGTTCCCACCCAGACAAACCCTCTTGAATTCTGAACCCATAGAACCTGTGAGATCATAAATGTTTATTGTTTTGGGAATAATTTGTTAATATAGCATTGGTAATACAGCAGGTAAGGCAGTTATGAAAATGAGGACTTAGCAGATAGTGACATCATTTGTCAGAAGAAGACGGGGGAAGGAACATATTTGTTGGGGAACCGGTCAGTTTTGGAAAGACTCAGTTTAGGATGCCATAGAACATTAAGGTGGAACTGTGTGGTAGTAGTAGATAGTAGAATATGTGGGATGACATCACTTAGTATCACAGGCTGGCTTCTCAGGAAGTAGCTACTGAGACCAAACTTAGGGTGCAGGATATTTATTAGGGATCGACGAGTCCTGTGAAAGAAGCAGGAGAAAGCAGTATTAAGCAGAAGTTAAATAAATTGTTGGCCTAACTGAACCTCAGCCCTGCTAGGTGCTCTGGAACAAATACTGCCTGTTGGAGTGTCCTACTTTGGGCCAAATGATCAAGGCTCTTTGCACCCCCATGTTGCTTAGTCACCAGATGTGTGTTAAGAGTCATGACTTAGGGGAGGTGGTTCCCAGCAACTGAGCCAGACCCTGCTGACAGCTGAGGGTGCTGCTGGCCACGAAGCCCCGTGTTGGGCAGCAAGCCCTTGCTCAAAGAGGGATCTGGATAGTGCATCTCGGTGTTTACCACCCCTGGAAACCAAGTAAGTGCATTCTGAGGGTGTTCTTTCAATAACTTGGTTTTCTCAGGTGTAGGAAGGACTATATCTTTATTACAATCTACCACCATAGTTCCCAGCAGGCTGGTTAATCCCAAGACTCTGAGGCATTGCCTTCAAGAAGGGCTTTGAAAGTAATGCCTAGCCACTAGGTTAGAAAATTACTAGGTTTAAAAATTATACAGAATTAAAAATTATGAAGATGTCTTTGAAATTATGAAGCACTATTAAAATTAAAAATCATGAATTATTCTTTTTTTAATATTTTGGCCCTGGCTGGCATAGCTCAGTGGATTGAGCACAGGCTGCGAACCAAAGTGTCGCAGGTTCGATTCCCAGTCAGGCCACATACATGGGTTGCAGGCCGTGGCCCCCAGCAACTGCACATTGATGTTTCTCTCTGTCTCTTTCTCCCTACCTTCCCTCTCTAAAAATAAATAAATAAAATCTTTAAAAAATATTTTAATCATTGTTCAAGTACATTTTTCTGTTCTTTACTCCCATTCCAGCCCACCCACCCATCTCTCCCGAATTACTCTTAAAATTAAAAATTATAAAGTATCTTTTAAAAATATACATCTAATCTATCACATATTAAGTACAGGGGGACAGAGGGAAATGTGAAATGACTCCGCAGGGGTGCAGTTGGCATGACAATTTCTTCAACAACATGTAAATTGAGAAAGGGAGGAAGGGAGACTTGGCCAGGGGTCTGGGGAGTACCTACCGACAGGACTAGCTGCATAACTAATTTTAAGGAACTCCAGTGTGGGTTTGTTTTTGTTTTTGCCAAGAGCAGGTAAAAGATGCTGTTTAAGGTACTAACATGTTAAACTATTTATTTTGCAGTCTGTCGCTCCACCTTTCACATTAACTTCGTTCACTTGCTAGCAGGGGCACGGGAGTGAGGTCAGCCATCTCCCTCCAGCGTCCTCCTAGTGCAGCCTGCAGCGAACCAGCAATACCGTGGGGGTGTAGGTGGGCATCGAGCAGCTGGCAGTATACACAGTGGTGCTGCCAGCTTTGGAGAGAAGCCAGAGAGGCAGAGGCTGGTATCTGCTGACCCACCGCAAACCCAGGGCTGTCTAGGACCGGGCCTGATAAAGTGAGGAGGCCCCAGGACATAGGCCCACGTGGGAGCTGAGACTCCAAGACCCTAGCATGTACTCAAGTGTCCCACTGCACTTCACTTACAGGACAAATTCAAAGGCACAATTATTGACTTTCAAGACAGTGACTGCAAAGCATTAAACCCCATGTATGGAGTTCTCCTGAGTGCCGGGCCCTATGTAAATACACTGGTTGATGAAAAGAAATTTGAGAGCCTCTATAACCAATTGCAATGTGTGGATCTTATATGAGGTCCAGTTGAACAAACAAGCTGGATAGGCAATAGGGTAGTTTGAAAACTGATTGGATTTTTTGATGATATCAAGTTGTATTACTAAATCCTTTAGGTATTATCATCAAACTGTCATGTTTAATTTTTAAAAGTTTACTTTTCCAGATACATATACTCACTATTTACAGATGAAACAGCAAGATGGCTGGGATTTGCCTTAAAATAATGGGAGGACCATCCAATAGGTAAGGGCATGGATAAAAAA